ATGACTTATATCGCCCATAACTCACTTGTATTCTACTCGTGCACAACATCAACGCATAAAACCTAGCTCGGATGCCACTGTTGGGGAACGTAGTAATTTCAAAAAAATTCCTACGCACATGCAAGATAATGGTGATGCATAACAACGAGAGAGGAGAGTGTTGTCTACGTACCCTCGTAGACCGAAAGCGGAAGCGTTAGCACAATGCGGTTGATGTAGTCGTACGTCTTCACGGCCCGACCGATCAAGCACCGAAACTACGGCACCTCCGAGTTCTAGCACACGTTCAGCTCGATGACGATCCCCGGACTCCGATCCAGCAGAATGTCGGGGAAGAGTTCCGTCAGCACGACGGTGTGGTGAAGTTCTTGATGTTCTACCGTCGCAGGGTTTCGCCTAAGCACCGCTACAATATTATCGAGGATTATGGTGGAGGGAGGCACCGCACACGGCTAAGAGATCAATGATCAATTGTTGTGTCTATGGGGTGCCCCCTGCCCCCGTATATAAAGGAGCAAGGGGGAAGGCGGCCGGCCTAGGAGGAGGGCGCGCCAATGGGGGGAGTCCTACTCCCACCGGGAGTAGGACTCCTCCTTTCCTTGTTGGAGTAGGAGAGAAGGAAAGAGGGGGAGAGGAACAAGGAAAAGGGGGCTGCACCCCTTGTCCAATTCGGACCAGAGGGGGGCGCGCGCCTCCTTCCTTTTGGTCTCTCCCCTCTATTCCCGTATGGCCCAATAAGGCCCATATACTCCCCGGCGAATTCCCGTAATTCTCCGGTACTCCGAAAAATACCCGAATCACTCGGAACCTTTCCGATGTCTGAATATAGTCGTTCAATATATCGATATTTACGTCTCGACCATTTCGAGACTCCTCGTCATGTCCCCGATCTCATCCGGGACTCCGAACTCCTTCGGTACATCAAAACTCATAAACTTATAATATAACTGTCATCGAAACCTTAAGCGTGCGGATCCTACGGGTTCGAGAACAATGTAGACATGACCGAGACACGTCTCCGGTCAATAACCAATAGCGGAACCTGGATGCTCATATTGGCTCCCACATATTCTACGAAGATCTTTATCGGTCAAACCGCATAACAACATACGTTGTTCCCTTTGTCATCGGTATGTTACTTGCCCGAGATTCGATCGTCGGTATCTCAATACCTAGTTCAATCTCGTTACCGGTAAGTCTCTTTACTCGTTCCATAACACATCATCCCGCAACTAACTCATTAGTTGCAATGCTTGCAAGTCTTTAAGTGATGTGCATTATCGAGAGGGCCCAGAGATACCTCTTCGACAATCGGAGTGATAAATCCTAATCTCGAAATACGCCAACCCAACAAGTACCTTTGTAGACACCTGTAGAGCACCTTTATAATCACCCAGTTACGTTGTGACGTTTGGTAGCACACAAAGTGTTCCTCCGGTAAACGGGAGTTGCATAATAGTCATAGGAACATGTATAAGTCATGAAGAAAGCAATAACAACAAACTAAACGATCAAGTGCTAAGCTAACGGAATGGGTCAAGTCAATCACATCATTCTCCTAATGATGTGATCCCGTTAATCAAATGACAACTCATGTCTATGGTTAGGAAATATAACCATCTTTGATCAGCGAGCTAGTCAAGTAGAGGCATACTAGTGACACTCTGTTTGTCTATGTATTCACACATGTATTATGTTTCCGGTTAATACAATTCTAGCATGAATAATAAACATTTATCATGATATAAGGAAATAAATAATAACTTTATTATTGCCTCTAGGGCATATTTCCTTCAATATGGGGGCGCCCGGGCACGCCGCCACGTCGGCCTGACGACATGGCCGCACACGGAAACACCCGGAAACCCGGCGGGTCGCCACGGTGTGAACGCCGCGTGGCGCCGCTCCGGCTCGCCACCCAAGACGAAATCCGGCTATTTACGCCGGCCGGCGTCCCGCAACCCTAACACACACACACCCTCTCCGCGCCGCCAGTCAGAGCCCATCCACCTACCCCCTCTCCCGCTCCGGCGCTCTGCCCATGCTCTGGCACTCCGTCATGGTCCGGAGCAAGATCACCTACTATGCCATGCCGACGCCGGAGCGCCGCTACGAGATCCAGCAGCAGATCCGGACGAGGGAAGCCGTGCACGTCGCCCGCATCGCTGCCTAGCTGTCTCTGGACTCGCCGGAGCCGGAGGAGGAGGATGAGCAGCCAGGGGAAGAGGAGGAGGAGGAGATGGCTTCAATGGAGGTGGAGGAGGCGGAGGAGCTGGACCAACAGGTGCCGCCCTTCAACATGGATTAGGCGGAGGCTGAGTTCGCCGTTGCCCAGTCCGACGAGATGGCCGAGCAGTAGGCCATCCTGGAGTCCATTCAGGATGAGGCCTCTGGCGGGAGCAGGCGGAGTCCGACGCGCTTTTCGCCGAGTTCGACACGGAGATAGAGGCGGAGAAGGCCAGAGCAGAGCAGCCGGAGGAGCCGGAGCTGCAGCTGCCGCCCATGCTGTCGGAGCCGAGCATGAAGATCGTCGTGATCTCCGTCGAGGAATAGCTAGGATCGACGTTGTACGTAGGTTCTGCATGTCTTTATATGGATAAGAATCGAGTATAAGATGTTCAGATGCAACGAATAAAATTTAAGGTGTGTCTGGTCATTGCGCGCGGATCATCACCAGTCCACCGCGTCGTAACGACCGACGTCACGCAGGCCCGGCCCGTCTTGTGCTCGTCAAAGACCAGCGACGACCAGCGTAGCAGCAACGTGCGTGCTCTGGAGTCTTGAGGCACACGCGCGCGCAGCGAGCGTACGTGACCTTCCTTCCTTCCTTGCCTCGCGCTCGTTAAGCACGGGTCAAAACAGTCCCTTTACTAATCCCAGCACACAACGCACACACGCAAACGCCGTACGACCACTTTTCTGCAGGCTGGATGTTACGACTCCGGCATATTTTATAACGACGGGTTGCCATTACAGAACGCTGCGGGTCGTCGATAGATACCGTCTGCCCCGCTGACCCCGGTATGCATGCATGTCAGCTATAAACACCACGTACGTCGTGTATATTATGCCTTTTGTAAAAATACGAATTGATTCATCTTATTACATTATCTCTCTGGAATATGCATACCTATCTTAATTAGCGTGCAACGCAAAGGCTAGTCTTTTTCTTTCCCCAACTGAACACAGTTTCCCCTTTATAGCAACTCATAGATTCCATTCTTTCCACGAATTCTTTTGAATTTACTGTTCATCCAGGCTCAGATGAGCTGGAGCTCAAAAGGGTACTTCCTCACAAAGATTCATATTTTTGAATTGTATAATATTCAAACATCTAGAAACCTCATGTCTCGCAAAAAAAAAGAGTAGAAACCTCATGATTTTCTCGTTATGCATAGGCCTCGCAATTGGAACAACTATAGATCCGCTATAGTATTTTATTTCAAGATCACAAATCAGAACTGCATGTTAATTATGTTATTAACACCATTTATGTATTTGCCAATGTTTGAAAAATATGGCTAGTTGCCTAGTTCGATGTACTCATGCAATCGTCCTTGCAAGTTTAACAAACTCGGTCAATTTCATTTCAAATTCATAGAATTCTGGTCCGCGAAATTTCAGTAACCACATGGCCGGGTTCGAATCCCCCCACTCAAGCCACTTGGGTTCAAATCTCTCCACCTGCCTAACAATAAAAGTTAAGAGAGGGAACTCCCCCCTTAACCTCATTTTTTTGTCGGTAATCCCTCAAAAAACATGGTTAGCGGATTCACTAGCCTCATCTAGATTTCCCCAATCCGATAAAATAAACCTTGAATGAAAATAATCATGACACTTACAACTATATTGTCGGATGATCGTGGTTCGGTCTAGCTCACCATGAAGCACAAACTTACTGCATTGATGCGGCTATAATGCAACCAATCATGCTAACTACAAAACTAAAAAGTGCATCTTCAATGAGTAACAACCCTCCATTATGTATCTTGTCTAAACTATTCAGTAGGAGGCTCGATTTATGGGCTAACCCCTTCATCTTGTTCTGCTCCTGCACTTGCAGTCGCGCTGTTGCGAGTTACATCTTGTAATTGATAAACCTCTCCCTACCAATGAAATGATACATAATTTGCGTATTTGAAAAAAAAAACTTAACTATACACGATACTCTCCACATCAAACATGCCTTCAAAGCATGAAACACGACGGGGCTGGCGTTTTGGCTCCCGGGAGAACAGTAACGCGAAAAAATTATTAAATGTTCTTGAAAAATTCTGAAATTATTTGTAGATGATTGTATTAGTGTCGCAGACATGCATGACAATTTTCATGGGAAGCGGAGCGGCGGTGTTTTGTCGGCCCAAGAAAAAATTAGGATGATATTTTGGGATAACTTTTGGTGTTGGAGAGCGGAGCGGCGGTGTTTTTTCTTTTTACCGTGAAAGCATCTTTTTCTCCTGTGACGATAACGTAGCACCAACGGGTCAATCCATTCCGTTCTTTTTCTAACGTAAATCAGTCCAAAACTAATCCCTACGGCACAACATTTGACTAAACAAACAGGGTCGGGTAGCCCAACACGTACGTACAGCACGCCAGTCGTGACGCAAAGCGACGGCGCCATGCCCATGGGGCGGCGTCGGAACATTCTTTCGGCAACGGACCCAAACAATCACCCAAACTACTACTCCCACTTCACTGGGGTTCGAGAGCGACGCCGCGAGGCGCCTTCTCCCACTCGCTGCTTTCCCATGTTCTCCCCGACCGCGTGAGCGGGCCGCGGTTCCAGCGCCGCCACCAACCGTCGCATTCCTTCCTTCCACCCCTTCTCTCCGCGTGCCCAGAACCTTTATATACTCCGCCTCCATCCAGCAACCCTCGCAGCCCTCTCGCTGGAGGATCGATACTTGCTCGTCTTTGTCTCTTCCCTTCTCCTCCATCTCCCATCCCACCATTGTTTCTGCCGTTCCACCACCATATAGCCACAAAACTCTACTTAGATGATGCGTGACCAGCCTTACGTGGGGTCGCACCACTATTCCGCCCAAAACATGGCCGACGGCGGAGACCTGTCCTACCTCGATTATTATTTCGAGCAGGACGCTGTGCCTGCGTCTCTGCCGGCTCCGGCGAACCCGCAGGGGAGCAAGAAGAGGGGGGCGTCGGCGATGGAGGTTGACGCGCCGCAGGGGCAGGGCGTGGTGGGTCTGTGGAGTGAGATGGTGGCGGAGGATCAGCCGGGGTTTAAGAGGCAGAACTCGCTGTGGGAGTCAATGGATACCGGTGGCGGGCTAGCGCTTCATGTGGTGGAGTCGTCGGTGGGGTTTGGGGTGCCGCAGGTGCAGGGCATGGTCAACCTTGGAGCTCAGTGGATGGGAGGGGCGCCGTCGGTCTCGGCGGCGCGGGGGTCCAAGCGGCAGCGCTCTCCGTCGGGCTCGATTGAGACCGCCAGCGGCGGGAGCAATGAGGACGGCGGAAGCGAGACCGTCAATGAGTCTCTGGCGTTGGCCACGGTGACGGGGGAGAAGGGCGGGAGGCGGCTGTGGAAGAAGGACCGCCACAACGAGTGGTGGGACACGGCTAGCAGCTCGGGCTACCCGGCGGCGGACTTCAGCCACCATTTCCGCATGTCCCCCTACACGTTCCAGGTTCTGTGCGAGCAGCTGGCGGCCGCCGTCCACAAGGAGGACACCGCGCTGCGCGCCGCCATCCCCGTGCAGAAGCGCGTCGCCGTCTGCGTCTGGCGCCTCGCCACCGGGGAGCCCCTCCGCAAGGTCGCCGATCGCTTCGCCATCGGGGTCTCCACCTGCCACAAGCTCGTGCTCGACGTCTGCGCCGCCATCGAGGCCACGGTCGTGCCCAACGTCATCCGGTGGCCGGACCCCGCCGCCATGGCCACCAACGCCGCCAAGTTCGAGGCCTTGTCGGGCATCCCGGGCATCATCGGCGCCGTCTACACCACCCACGTGGCCATCATCGCGCCCAAGCACCACGTCATCAACTACTTAACCCCCCGCGCCACGGCGCGCAAGAGCAAGACCTGCTACAGCATCACCCTGCAGGCGTCGGTGGACGCGGACGGGACCTTCACCGACGTCCGCGTCAGCCCCGGCGCCATGACCGGCGACCAAACCCTCCTCCTCTGGTCGATGAACAAGCCGAAGCTTACCGGGGAGACCCTTGGCGAGGGCATGCGCCTGGTCGGCGGCGCCGGCTACCCGCTCACGGACTGGATGCTGGTGCCCTACTCCCACCACAACCTGACGTGGACGCAGCACGAGTTCAACGGGAGACTGGCAATGGCGCGCGCCGTCGCCGTCGGCGCGTTCCAGAGGCTCAAGGCGCGCTGGGCCTGCCTCCAGAGGCGCACCGAGGTCAAGGTGGACGACCTTTCCGTCATGCTCGGCGCCTGCTGCGCGCTCCACAACATCTGCGAGCGCAGCGGCGAACCCTTGGACCTCCAGCTGCTGCAGGGCCTGGAGCTCGACCTAGACGACGACGACGACCACATGGTCGCCAATGACCCCGTGCCCTCCCCCGCCGCCGAGCAAATGCGAGACACCATCGCCCACAACATGCTTCACCATGGCAACAAGCTGGCCGGCGCTGGGACGTCTTTCTACTAGCTAGCAGCCAGTACCTGTTTTCATTTCTTGACCGGATCGATCAGCCGATCGAGAGTTAAAGGAATAATTAAGGGAGTAGAGCACCAAAATTCATTTGTTATTTTGTTGGAACGGGAAGAGCCAACAAGTTTTCTTCTCGAGATTAATTAGTCCAGTTTTTAGTACTCCCTCCGTCCGTCCACGAAAACTTGTCCCAAATTTATCTCTCAAATGGATGTATGTAGCACTAACTTGATGGTAGATGCATCAATTTGAGAGACAACCTTTTTCGAACGGAGGGAGTATGATTTCGGGCAACGTTTTCTTGTTTTTAGGTTCGGACACAAGATTGTGGTTTGAGATATTGAAAGGATGACATTTCCTTTTTCTTCATGTTTTAGGATATCTCTTGGATCTTGTATATCACCATCAATTTTGCCAAACATGTATCCTTATTTCATTTCCCCATCAAATACACTAGATTGATCTCTCCCACTCTCCACATGTAAAAATACTTTGTAGTTCCTCGGTTAGTATGAAATCCGGATTATGCAAGTACTACCTCCGTACCAAAATTTAAAAATGTTTTTGTATGCTAAACTAACTTCAAGAGACGTCTTACATTTTGATATGGAGGTAATACATGGTATGATATCTATGTGTAATTTATAGTGTACAAATAGTAGCTTTGAGTTTGTCGTGGACTCGTGGCTGAACTATCAACTGTAGCTAAACCACCGACTGTATGTAGACTTTGAAGCTTGCCACCATCCATGAATCTGCTATTTGTACCACAAATGCTTTTGCATTATGATTTAGCTGGATTTCACCGCAGCATGTGCGTGAATTGAACTTTTTGTGTTGCAATCTTTGGATCGACGAATTAACCTGTTATTTTTAGATGTTCTGAATCTGGTTGGAACATTTTTCATTGTCACGCACATTTTTGAAAGCTATCAACATTTATTTAGTCGCGCTTACATTTTTTTTATAAAGAGTTAATACTTTCTAAATTTATGGTTTTTATTTTTTTTCAAAAAAATTATGTTTTTTATATTTATTAATATAAATATAAATAAGAAGTAAAAAACGTATTTAGCGTGATGTCAGCTAGACGTCAAGTTGGTGAACCACCTCTCTATCAGCGAGGAATAGGCGCGCCCAACTTATGTGATCAGTTGAACCGGTTTTTAGAATGTTCCGCGCATTTTACTTTTATTTTTGTGTCTTTTTTTTTCTCTACATATGTCTAGTTTTTCTCAATACAGAGTTTACATTTTCCTTGTACATGCGGAACATCTTTTTGATACACATTGAGTACATGATGTACATTTTTTAAAAGTATATATTTTGAACATTTTTTTGAATACATATTAACATTTCTAAAACACACATTGAACATTTTTTGCAATGAAATTAAACATGTTTTCTAAACTAGGAAGACACTTTTTTAACTGTGTAAATATTTTCTGAAAATTCATCAAAATATTTTCAAACACGTGAACATTTTCAAACACTGACACATTATGTGTCACTTAGGAAGGGGACCTTCTATTGATCTATTCGGTGCTTCAGGCGCCGAATAAAATCCCGGGTGCTTGCTAGCTTCCGTCATGAGCTGCGGCCCCAACAGTGACTTCTCCGGTACATAGCGTTCACGAGGTCTCTCATTTAAAGTGGTTCTTCATTTTTGTATTTTGAATAAAAATGATCACATATTTTGAATAAAAGTTCACAAACTTACAAAAAACTCCACGAATTAGAAAACATTTCATTGACTTTAAAAAAAAGTTCATCAAATTTGAAAAGGATTTCAAAATTTTGAAAAAAAGTTTATAGATTTTGATTTTTTCTTCACAAATTGGAAAAGGTTCATCAATTTTGAAAGAAGATTCACAATTTTTTTAAAAATTAATCAATTATGAAAAAAGTTAACAAGATACAAAAAAGTGCACAAAATTTTTATTAAAAAGGAAAAATAGAAAAGAAAAAACCAGGGGCTTCCTGCAAACTGGAAAAAGTATAAGAGAAAAAAAGAACAAAGTAAGGTTGTACATGCTTTGTGATGTCCTACTAGTTACTGCACTTCTCGTTGAAGATACAGGTCCGAGTTTGAACCTCAACACCCGCAAAAAAAAAGAGTAAATGAGCTGGCCCAACTTTGAGGGGGGTTTGCACCGGTTGGCAAAATAGCCCTTAACCGCTGCCGAAAGCGGCAAATAGGGCTTGCCCTTAGGGAGCTCCTACTTCGCGGGCGAGTCGCCGGGTAGTAACCTAGCGCGCAGCACCCGCTCCCCCAGCGCATATTGGGGTGGGCCGCTCCTGTTTTTTGTTTCTTTTTTCTTTTTTGTTTTGTTTCATAAAATTGTTTGGGATTTAAAAACAGTTATAAATTCTATATATACATCAGAGAGTCATCCTCACTAACTTGCTTATCTCCACATACATGCATGCCACATCACCATACAATTATTGAAGGGATAAGGCCCATCAACATGCACCCACGCATGTGAAAACATCCACCACAACATCCAGCCATGCATGAGAAAATATTCTTCATCTATTATTCTACTTAAATTCATTAATATTTTACAACTATACATCATAAAATATAATGCATCGTATGTAATTTAGTATTTGCTTCACATGATGTTAAATGAAATATTTATGTTCCACACAACCAAATCCTATTGAAATATATTACAATTCATTCCCGAAGCAAGGCATGGGGTATCATCTAGTTTCAAATGATGGTCGGGATGTCAAAATAAAAATTGAGTTTCAAAAAAATGTTCAAGAGTTTTGAAAAAACTATTCCCGAATGTAAAAAAGTTTTGCGAGTTCAAAATTGTTTCTGGCTTCAAAAAAAGTTCTCAAATGGACAAAATATTCACAATTTCGAACAATGTTCATGAATCCAAAAAGAAAAGTCCATGGTTTTGAAGAAATGTCCACGGATTCAAAATTGTTAATGAATATGTAAATAAATGATCACAAAATCATAGAAATAATCATGGATATAAAAAATCATCGTTTCAAAAAAGAATGATGACTTACAAATAAATGTTCATGAAATACAAATTTGTTTCCATGAATATTTTCTAAAATTCCTGAAGAAATATCCACTAACTCAAGAAAATGTTTACGGCGTCCAAAAAAATGTTAACAATTTCCAAAACAATTGTCGGGAGTTAATTTTTTTTTATAAATGTGAGTATTTTTTTTAAAATTTCCTGAAAGTATGAGAAAATGTTCAGGATTACATAAAAGTATTCACAAATTCTAAAAGTTTCAGGATATACGAAAATGTTCATGATTTCAGAAAAATGGTCACAAAATTTTAAAACAAAGTATGAGAAAATTAGATAAATAAAATAAGAACGGACATGAAGAAAAAAAATAAATAAATAAAATGAAAACAGAGTGGACGAACCAAAATGAAAAAGCAGAAAAATGTAATGAGAAAACATAAAAGAAGATAAAATATGGTAGGGATAGTAATATAAAAAGAAGAGAAAATCTGCTGTGAGAATACACACATGACCTGCGCGCCAAATAGAATTGGACGTGTCACATCGGCAATGATTCACATAGGCAGATCTTCTAGCTTGTCTGGGTTTTACAGCTCGTGAAATGTGTATACTAATTCCATCATAAAAACACGGTAATGTAATACGTTTTTCGAATTTATACTAAATAAGAAAAGAATCTCATGACATTTTTCTGGAATTCAGGTTTTTTTCCGCATTTTGACATTTTTTAAATGATATTTTTGTGAAGACGCAAAGGAAACAAAATTTTGACTAGGGGAATTTATTATTATCAATAATTTTGAAAATTATGATTTTTTAAAACATGAAGAGATTTGTGAACGTACAAACAGTTTTTAATTTATGAATACATTTTGAAAATAGGTGCATTTTTTATATCCCGAAATATTATTTTGAAAAGCTGAATATATCATTTGAAACGTGAACTTTTTTTAGTTTAAGGCCACATTTTCAATACAGAAACATTATTTATAAATGCAGAACAATTTTTGAAAGTACAAAAAAAATTAAAGGATCTTTTTAAAAATATTTCTAACACAATTTGATAACACCAACTTTATTTTAAGACATGAATTCTGTAAATTGTGAACAATTCATGAAATTGTGATGATTTTTTTAACTTACATACATTTTAAATTTTTTGAATTTCCAAAAAGATAAAAGAAAAGAAAAATGAAGTAAAAATAAAAAACTGAATAGAAAAATCAAAGAAACTAGAAACGAACAACAGAAAGAGAAAACTAGTTCAGAACATATTTACAAGGTTTCCAAAACCAGTCACGACAAAGTTCCCACAAACGGAACCGGTTGGGGTGCCCCCCGCTTATAGAGTGACTTAAGGAGGCATCGCTTGAAAATGTTTCTCATCTATACGAAAAATATATAATGGATGTGAAAAAGTTGATCATGTATTATAAATTGTTAATCAAGCGTTGAAACAATGTTAAATAACTATTTGAATTTTTTTAATCAAGCATTTGAAAAATGTTAAAAAAATTAGGAGAACTAAAAAATTGTTAAATGCGTATAAAAAACTGTTAACCATGTATAAAAAAATGTTAATATTAACGCAAGATGGGCTGTCCCAGGTGTACTGGAGGCCACAGCATCGTATTTATTTATTTACTTTGTTTATACTTCCAAATATTCTAAGTAAATTATATTACCAAAAACCTGTTAAATAAAAATTGAAAAGTATATTAACCACGGATTTTAAAAATGTTAGATGTACATAGAGAAAATGTTTCTCCTGTATACAATAAAACAATCATGTAGTATTTACAAAATGTTAATCAAGCATGTGAAAATTATTAAATATATCTAAGAAATGTTGACCATATATTTAAAAATATTAATATTGCATTTAAAAATATTTTAATCAAGTAGTTGGAAAATATGAAATGTGTATAAAATATATTTACCATGTACTAAGAAACTTTAATACTCCCTCCGTCCCAAAATAAGTGACTC